GATGAGTTTCAGCAGCATCATGTGTGGCCCTGGGGTGCATTCAGCTGATGAGATATAGATGTCTAGCACAGGCCATGTGAACTCCACCCAGAAATACCTAGTTTTTAACTAAAAAGGAAGCCTAAAGCAACTCAGATGTGGATGTCTACATTTAGATTAGATGAATCATACCTTATATGTCTACAGTCGCATTTTTATCAATCCAGTAGAAAACTCTGTCCAGTTTTTCCAATTTTGGACACTGCTAAGTGCAAGCATTTTCAGTGCATTCTCCATATAACATAAAAAGGGCAGGCATTCCTTTAATTTGTACATACTGTGCTTTTCTGCATTTGTGTGTGGAGCCTGTGTTTAGTGTGTGTGAAATTACCGTCCTTTTTAAACACAAATAAAGTCACAGAATGATCAGAATGAACATTCCAGAGGAAACGAGTGGTCCATGCCACTCAGCCTCTTCCCTCAGATAAGGGCTCACTGCTAGAGGATCTGAATTAGCTCACTATTAAAATGAATCCAGGAAAAAGATATTATTATAGCCCTATTAGTTATAACATGGGTTATGTTCTGTAGCAGGAGGGTTTAGTTTTTTGATATCTTGCTATTAAATTTCAAAAGTTAGGACTATTCTTTGCAGTAATAACTAATAACAACTTGCCTTTTGTAAAAACACTTTTTCTGCTCTCTGGAGAATTTTCTTGTAACAGTGATCAGATGAACCGCAGATGTTATTTGTTATCACTATGGCAAGTGATAGGAACATGGTCCCTATTTATATAACTCTGAAAAATACAGTTCCTTATTTTATTGGAAAGCACTGAAGTGTGGCATGACTTAAGAGGACAGAGTCCCGCTCTACTACAGCGGTATAAGGACACATGTAAGAGAACAGTGGATCAGGAAAATGGGTGGGCTGATAGGGTTAAATAGACATAAATGAATGCAGGTAAGCACACTCGTGTGCAGGAATGATGTGGTGCTGGGCTGGTTTGCTAGTCCCATGGAAGCAGGGGGCATGGGGAGACAAGCTGAAGGAAGGTGGGTCGGTTCCCAGCCTGGGAGCTGTGTCATGAGGGCAAATGTGGTGTGCTCCAGAGGACAAACAGGGAAGCAAACACACAGCAAGCTGTAAAGAAGCTGCTGAGCTAGTCATAGCCAGGCTGAAGTGAGTTTGCACCATGATATACTGCTATACTAATAAAATAAAACCGCCAGTATTATAAGGAACTTCGATAGATCCCAGATCACCCATGCAACTTGCTGTCAATCAGTCTTCAACCCATCTCCTATCATCCAACTCAGAATAGGCAGGAAATCGTTTCTGAAGAGTGAGGTGTTTTCAATGTCATTTACAAATAGGAAATGCTCTCTGAGCCAAGAGGTGCTCCCTGTGTCATTTGCCAGTCTTCAGGCTCTCAGTGTTACTTAGAGTGGCAGCGATATAAATTATTTAACCCTTTGCATTTTCCCATAGCTATAGCTGGCACAGGCAGAGCCAGTATCTGGCACAACACTTTTCACAGCTGCCATCTCACTGACAAATTCGGAAAGGGGAATTGTTTCTCAAGGTTTTGCCCTCCAGCATCAGTTAAATACCCTTTGTCTTCCCCTTGCTCCTGCAGTCTGCAGCTGAACTGGTACCTTGTGAACTGTCATGGTGTATGAGATGGAGGGTAAAAAGCAAGAGAAAGAAATGAAGTACATTATGTTCCCCTATGTAGAGGCTCGTTTTACCAGGGGGAGAGGGAGGAACCTTCTGATCGGAGACCCTCAATAGCTCCCTCACTGTTAAACTCCTTAGTCCATCCTCTTACATAGCCCCCTTCAATGATTGTTTTACCAGGCTGAATCCAAATCTATTTAGTCTCTATTTGTGCAGCAGTATCCCATGCTGTCATGGTTAATCCCAAACAGCAACTAAGTACCACACAGTTGCTCACTCACTCCCACTCACTCCCTTACCCCACCTCAGTGGGATGGGGAGGAGAATTGGAAAAGGTAAAACCCATGGGTTAAGAGCAACTTAATATTTGAAATAAAGTGAACAAGAAAAGAATAAGAATAAAGAGATTAATAAAAACTGAGATAAAAAGCCAAGTGATGCACAGTACAGTTTTTCGCCCCCCACTGGCCAATGTCCATCTCATCCCTGAGCAGTGATCGGCTCCTCATGGCCCTCACTCCAGCAGTGTGCCCAGGTAGACATGAAGGCCAGCAGCATCCTGGCCTGTATCAGCAATAGTGTGGCCAGCAGGGCCAGGGCAGTGATCATCCCCTGTACTGGCACTGGTGAGGACACACCTCAAATCCTGGGTTCAGTTCTGGGCCTCTCGCTACAAGAGACACATTTTGATGCTGGAGCAGGTCCAGAGAAGGGCAATGAAGCTGGTGAAGGGCCTGGAGCACAAGTCTGATGAGGAACAGCTGAGGGAACTGGGGTTGTTTAGTCTGAAGAAGAGAAGACTCAGGGGAGACCTTACCACTCTTTGCAACTATCTGAAAGGAGGATTTAGCTAGGAGGTGGCCAGTCTCTTCTCCCCCGTAACAAGCGACAGGACAAGAGGAAACAGACTCAAACTGCAACAGGGGAGTTATAGATTGGGTATTAGGAACAATTTCTTCACCAAAAAGGTGCTCAGACATTGGAACAGGCTGCCCAGGGCAGTGGTGGAGTCACTGTCCCTGGAAGCGTTCACAAACCGTGTAGATGAGGCCCTCAGTGACATGGTTTAGTGATGGGCTTGGCAGTCATGGGGTAACAGTTGGACTTGCTGATCTTAAAAGTCTTTTCCAATCTGTTTGATTCTATGATTCTAACTCCCACACACCCACCCCCCACTCCCCACCCCGTTTATATACTGAGCATGACGTTCTGTAGTATGGAATATCCCTCTGGCCCATTTGGGTCAGCTGTACTGGCTGTGCTCCCTCCAGGCTTCCTGTGCCCCTCCTCACTGGCCGGGCAGGAGAGACTGAAAAGTCCTTGGTCAGAGTAAACACTACTTACTAACAACTAAAACATTGGTGTGTTATCAGCATTGTTCCCATATTAAATCCAAAACACAGCACTGTGATAGCTACCAAGAAGAAAATCAACTCTGTCCCAGCCAAAATCAGGACATGTGCCCAGGTCATCTCTTACCCTTCTCTGAATCTTTACTAGTGCTTCTGCATCTGCAGGTGGCCAGACCACAATATTCAGGAGATGGACCCACCATGAACTCATGTGGTGTGGTAATATTTTCTGCTTTGTTATAAATTCCCACTTAAATAAATCCTACCTTTCTTTCAGTCTTTTGGATCATCCCTCCACACAGCTCAGGGATGCTCAACTCAATGACTCCAAAATCACAGAATCGTAGAATGATTTGGGTCGGAAGTGACCTTAAAGACCAGCTAGTTCCAATGACCTTTCAATGGGCAAGGAAATCTTTCACTGGATCAAATTACTCAAAGCCCCATTCAACATGACATAGAACATTTCCAATGACAGGGCATCCATAACTTCTCTGGGCAAACTGTGCCAATGTCTTACCACCCTCATTGAAAAAAACTTACTTCCTTCTGTCCTACCTAAATCTACCCTCTTTCAGTTTAAGACCATTTTCCCTTGTCCTGTGTCTACAGGACTTGATAAAAATTCCCTTTCCATCTTTCTTATAAGCCCCCTTTATACACTGAAAGGCTTCCAGAGCCTTCTCTTCTCCAGACTGAACAACCCCAATTCTCTCAGCCTTTCTTCATAGGAAAGGTGTTCCAGCCCTCTGGCAATTTTCATGGCATTCCTCTCTTCCCTGAGTAATGACAGTTTTGCATTAGTAAATAGGGTTACCCTCCAACCAATGTACAATTTCATCTGCTACTTTGCTATCCATTGGCTGAGATTTATGAGGACCTTCTGCAATTCTCTACAGCCAACAGCCATGTGTTACCAGCACATTTTATTCAGTGCTAGTGTCCAT